GTTCATTTCCCTTTCAGCAAGGATTGCCTTTGCTCTGTGTTAGAATGAAGTGAATAAATACAGATACTTAAGTTTCAGTATGCAGATACAAAAATTGGAATTGAAAATTACTGTTAATTATCTGTTAATTATCTATTTGGACAAGATTTAAATTTGTTGAACTTGCCAACTTCCAAGTACATCAATGCTTAAAAATTTGACCTTTCCTCTTTGTTTTTAAAAGGTATGACTACAACAAAGATTCTCTTCTCATTGCACTGGGTTTTAGGCTTTCAGCAGTAGTAAAGCCACACAGTTAGCACCTCATACATTAAGCTGAAAACCTATTCTGGAAGCAAAGGGCTGCATCTTTTCACTGCTAGACAAAATCTCTTTTATATAGAAAAATGGAGGCTTTTTTTTTTTTTATAGTTTAATGAGTTGCTTTTCTAGTAAAGCATGCCTACTGTGATTATCAAAGTGACTTACACATGTTAATTTAGACTGCAATTCAGCTTCACGTTATTTTCGTCCTTTCAGGAGAATAAAGCCTTCTATTTAACTAGCATTGGCAATATAGATTTTAACATTACAGTCCTTTTTGGATTGAATGGTAATGCACATTTGGTGGTTGCTCCTGTGATATGATTAATTGCAGGCCTTGAAAATGTCAGTTACCCAGAAAGAGCTGTTGACTTTCTTCTTTTTTTCCTATGAGTAAAATATAAGTGTTTTGCATTAGCATGATCATAATAGTAAAAGGATATGTAGGTTATGTTCGTGGGGTGATCAGTTTTAATGGTGTTTTTGCATAGGCTCTAACGTACCTGTGATGAAAGTATGTAGGCTTTTCTGTACATTAATTATTACAGTACTGAACATGGTGGATTTGATTTGTGTGTAAAGCAATGCTTTGAATGAAAGCTTGCCTAGCATCAATTAGCAAGATATAGGGAAAATTAAAACAATTATAAATCCATACTGAACATTAAAAAGATGTGCAGAGGAACTGAAAATTGCCAAACTTAGGGAAGAAATGAGCTTCAGGTCACAGGGGCCCATAACATAAAAAGTTATCCCCTTGTATACTCTGATCTCATTATGACTTATTCTAGTACCAACAGCCAAAATGTAAAAAAGAAAATTTGGGTTGGAAGGGACCTCAGGAGGTCACATCTAGTCCAACCCCCTGTTCAAAGCAGACCCATCCCCAGCTAGATAATTCCAGCCAAGGCTTTGTCAAGCCAGGCCTTAAAAAGCTTGAAGGATGGAGATTTCACCACCTCTCTAGGTAACCTATTCTAGTGCTTCACCATCCTCCTAGTGAGAGTTTTTTCTAATATCCAACCTAAACCTCCCTTGCTGCAATTTAAGATCATTGCTCCTTGTTGTGTCATCCGTCACCACTAAAAACAGTTTAGCTCCATCCTCTTTGGAACCCCCCTTCAGATAGCTGAAGACTGCTGTTGAATCCTCTCTCAGTCTTCTCCTCTCAAGACTAAATAAACGCAGTTCCCTTGGCCTCTCATAAGTCATGTCCCCTGGCTCCCTAACCATTATCGTTGCCTTCCACTGGACTGTCTGCAATTTGTTCACATCTTTTTTTATAGTGGGGGGCCCAAAACTAGACGCAGTACTCCAGATGTGGCCTCACCGTTGCTGAATAGAGGGGAATAAGCACTTCCCTTGACCTGCTGGTAACACTCCTACCTATGCAGCCCAGTATGCTGTTAGCCTTCTTGGCAACAAGGGCACACTGCTGGCTCATATTCAGCTTTTTGTCCACTGTAACTCCCAGGTCCATTTCTGTAGAGCTTCTGCCTAGCCAGTCAGCCCCCAGCCTGTACCGGTACATGGGGTTCTTCCACCCTAAGTACAGGACTTTGAACTAGTCCTTATTGAACCTCATGAGATTTCTTTTGGTCCAGTCCTTCACTTTGTCTAAGTCTCTCTGAAACCTAGTCCTATCCTCCAGCATATTTACTAGTGGTGTATGAAGCAGGCAGTATTCAATTTGGATTCAGCCCGATTTGGGGGGCAGTGATTCGATTTGCTGATGCAGATCACTGTCCTGATTTGATTCAGCTGACTCTGAAGATTCAGTTCTGATTCAGAGAATCAGAGATTCGGCCATAGACACAACTTTATGTTTTTTCTACATACCTTGGGGTACCAGGCACGGCTTGTGAATGCTGAGATGGTTGGGCAAATGGAGCATCCCACAGGAGCACGGGGGAGGTGGGGCATGTCCCCCACGCGCTTGGTGGTGGACATGGAAGTGGACCGGAAGTATTTCTGGTCCACTTCCAGGTCCACTGCCAAGCATGGGCTCCCTCTCCCCACCCCACCCCTGCCATACTCCTCTGGCTCAGTGATTGGCCATGGGGGGGGGAAAACTGGGTGCCACCCCAGACCAGGAGGCACCAGTCACTGAGCTGGGTGGCAGGGGGGCGGGTCCCCTGCGTGTTCCACGGTGGACCCGGAAGTGGACTGTAAGTACTTTTGGTCCACTTCTTGAGCTGCTGCTGAGCATGCAGGGGGCTCCCCCCATGCTCCTGTGGGACTCTCCATCTGGCCCACCACCTCAGCATTCACAAACCGTGCCTACATAGGTACATAGAAAAAACAAAAAGCTGTATCTATGGCCAAATTGTCAAATCTCTCCAAATTGAATTGGAGGCTTTTGATTAGATTCAGAGAGATTAATGGGTCTCCTGATTAGATTCGGATTTGGAGATTTGGCTGCCGAATTGGGCCAAATCTCCTCCAAATCGAATCAGCAACTGAAGCTTCACAAAGCCCTAATATTTACTACTCCATTTTTAAGCATTGATGTACTTGGAAGTTGGCAAGTTCAACAAATTTAAATCTTGTCCAAATATAATTGAACTTCATACATTTAAGGGCACAAAAGATAATCTAATAGTCAGAACACAAGACATAGATCATATTCTTGGTTTATCACCCAATCGCTGTATTACCTTGGATAAATCACTTAAATTTTCTGTGCCTGTTTCCCCGCATACAAAGTGGAAAGTCTACCATTAGCTTAGTTTTGCAGTTTATTAACTCTTTTTTTTTTTTTTTTAATCCCAACAAAAACACAAGTTAAGGGGAAAGGACTATAATTCTGTATATCTTCTGGTAACTAGTTCCCTCTATATATTTTTCTTCTATTCTCATTTAATGGGAAGGCACAAGATGTAGTGGGTTTAGGTGTTATGGTGCCTAAATTTACCTTTCTTTTTCATTGGTGAGTATTTGTTGTACATTACCACCTAGGACCCTAACCACATAGGTCCTCAGCCATCCTTGTTTACAGGTATAATGCCAAGCCTGACTAATCTTTTGAATGGAGGTGACAGAACATACAACCAAAACATTAAACCAAACATTAAAACCTAAAGCACATGGTTTAGCAGCTTGTCTAAAGAAATACAAGAAGCCTGTGGCAGAGCCATGAGTTGAACCTTATGGTTAAGTCTCTGGATTGTGACTCAGATAATCCTGAATTTTTCTTACAATTTGATTCTGATTCTGCAAAGGATTGAGTCTGGATGTATAGTTATTTCCACTTGATACTACAGCTGGATGTAACTGTTTACAGGTTGGAATCTTAATACAGAGTTTATAAAATATTTAGAGACATTTAGGTGAAAAGTTCCATTAAAAAGGTATATATGTTCCTTGTGTTTGTTACATTATTTTTAACACAATTCCAGCATTCTTTTTGCCTCAACAAAATAATCATTGATATAATGTTAAAATGTACTGGAGAAATAATATTAATAAACCTCTCTCTTTCTCTCTCTCTCTTTCAGCAATCCTAGCTATTTTTAACCAAAGAAGTGAAAATTTATTGAGAGCAAATATAATTTCCCAGTCACGAACAGCTTATATAAGGCATAAGTTGTACAGGATCATTTTTTCACCCATTATTTATTTATTTATTTTTATTAAGCATGTGGCCAGACAGCACAGCAGAAGAAAATTTAATTTCTTTCTTTAATTGAATAGTAAGAGAAAAGCACTGCTGAGAGCACACCAAATCATACTTTATATTTCTTGGAAAGGTCTCCCAGATTTTACTATCTATCAGAGGAAAATCTGTAGTATCCTACTGAATGTCAGTCATTCTTGCTTAACATTTTTAATAGAAATATAAGGATTGACCTGGGAGTAGAACTGTTTCTTCATTCTTCTCTGTCACTAACAGTATGTTGCTGCCCCTCAACCATCTGTCCCCTGTAGAGCCTCCCTGTTCCAGTCTGCTCCTCCTCAGAGAAAAATCTACATTCTTGGAATTGTTTTTAGGCCTGAAACTGTGCTGGCCCAGCACTGTTCATATGTCTGTAGAACTGACTGTGTTGGAAGGACCTTTTTCTTTGATTAGATCTGTAGGCAAAGGGTGTTCATTTCCCTTTCAGCAAGGATTGCCTTTGCTCTGTGTTAGAATGAAGTGAATAAATACAGATACTTAAGTTTCAGTATGCAGATACAAAAATTGGAATTGAAAATTACTGTTAATTATCTGTTAATTATCTATTTGGACAAGATTTAAATTTGTTGAACTTGCCAACTTCCAAGTACATCAATGCTTAAAAATTTGACCTTTCCTCTTTGTTTTTAAAAGGTATGACTACAACAAAGATTCTCTTCTCATTGCACTGGGTTTTAGGCTTTCAGCAGTAGTAAAGCCACACAGTTAGCACCTCATACATTAAGCTGAAAACCTATTCTGGAAGCAAAGGGCTGCATCTTTTCACTGCTAGACAAAATCTCTTTTATATAGAAAAATGGAGGCTTTTTTTTTTTTTATAGTTTAATGAGTTGCTTTTCTAGTAAAGCATGCCTACTGTGATTATCAAAGTGACTTACACATGTTAATTTAGACTGCAATTCAGCTTCACGTTATTTTCGTCCTTTCAGGAGAATAAAGCCTTCTATTTAACTAGCATTGGCAATATAGATTTTAACATTACAGTCCTTTTTGGATTGAATGGTAATGCACATTTGGTGGTTGCTCCTGTGATATGATTAATTGCAGGCCTTGAAAATGTCAGTTACCCAGAAAGAGCTGTTGACTTTCTTCTTTTTTTCCTATGAGTAAAATATAAGTGTTTTGCATTAGCATGATCATAATAGTAAAAGGATATGTAGGTTATGTTCGTGGGGTGATCAGTTTTAATGGTGTTTTTGCATAGGCTCTAACGTACCTGTGATGAAAGTATGTAGGCTTTTCTGTACATTAATTATTACAGTACTGAACATGGTGGATTTGATTTGTGTGTAAAGCAATGCTTTGAATGAAAGCTTGCCTAGCATCAATTAGCAAGATATAGGGAAAATTAAAACAATTATAAATCCATACTGAACATTAAAAAGATGTGCAGAGGAACTGAAAATTGCCAAACTTAGGGAAGAAATGAGCTTCAGGTCACAGGGGCCCATAACATAAAAAGTTATCCCCTTGTATACTCTGATCTCATTATGACTTATTCTAGTACCAACAGCCAAAATGTAAAAAAGAAAATTTGGGTTGGAAGGGACCTCAGGAGGTCACATCTAGTCCAACCCCCTGTTCAAAGCAGACCCATCCCCAGCTAGATAATTCCAGCCAAGGCTTTGTCAAGCCAGGCCTTAAAAAGCTTGAAGGATGGAGATTTCACCACCTCTCTAGGTAACCTATTCTAGTGCTTCACCATCCTCCTAGTGAGAGTTTTTTCTAATATCCAACCTAAACCTCCCTTGCTGCAATTTAAGATCATTGCTCCTTGTTGTGTCATCCGTCACCACTAAAAACAGTTTAGCTCCATCCTCTTTGGAACCCCCCTTCAGATAGCTGAAGACTGCTGTTGAATCCTCTCTCAGTCTTCTCCTCTCAAGACTAAATAAACGCAGTTCCCTTGGCCTCTCATAAGTCATGTCCCCTGGCTCCCTAACCATTATCGTTGCCTTCCACTGGACTGTCTGCAATTTGTTCACATCTTTTTTTATAGTGGGGGGCCCAAAACTAGACGCAGTACTCCAGATGTGGCCTCACCGTTGCTGTATAGAGGGGAATAAGCACTTCCCTTGACCTGCTGGTAACACTCCTACCTATGCAGCCCAGTATGCTGTTAGCCTTCTTGGCAACAAGGGCACACTGCTGGCTCATATTCAGCTTTTTGTCCACTGTAACTCCCAGGTCCATTTCTGTAGAGCTTCTGCCTAGCCAGTCAGCCCCCAGCCTGTACCGGTACATGGGGTTCTTCCACCCTAAGTACAGGACTTTGAACTAGTCCTTATTGAACCTCATGAGATTTCTTTTGGTCCAGTCCTTCACTTTGTCTAAGTCTCTCTGAAACCTAGTCCTATCCTCCAGCATATTTACTAGTGGTGTATGAAGCAGGCAGTATTCAATTTGGATTCAGCCCGATTTGGGGGGCAGTGATTCGATTTGCTGATGCAGATCACTGTCCTGATTTGATTCAGCTGACTCTGAAGATTCAGTTCTGATTCAGAGAATCAGAGATTCGGCCATAGACACAACTTTATGTTTTTTCTACATACCTTGGGGTACCAGGCACGGCTTGTGGATGCTGAAAATGGAGCATCCCACAGGAGCACGGGGGAGGTGGGGCATGTCCCCCACGCGCTTGGTGGTGGACATGGAAGTGGACCGGAAGTATTTCTGGTCCACTTCCAGGTCCACTGCCAAGCATGGGCTCCCTCTCCCCACCCCACCCCTGCCATACTCCTCTGGCTCAGTGATTGGCCATGGGGGGGGGAAAACTGGGTGCCACCCCAGACCAGGAGGCACCAGTCACTGAGCTGGGTGGCAGGGGGGCGGGTCCCCTGCGTGTTCCACGGTGGACCCGGAAGTGGACTGTAAGTACTTTTGGTCCACTTCTTGAGCTGCTGCTGAGCATGCAGGGGGCTCCCCCCATGCTCCTGTGGGACTCTCCATCTGGCCCACCACCTCAGCATTCACAAACCGTGCCTACATAGGTACATAGAAAAAACAAAAAGCTGTATCTATGGCCAAATTGTCAAATCTCTCCAAATTGAATTGGAGGCTTTTGATTAGATTCAGAGAGATTAATGGGTCTCCTGATTAGATTCGGATTTGGAGATTTGGCTGCCGAATTGGGCCAAATCTCCTCCAAATCGAATCAGCAACTGAAGCTTCACAAAGCCCTAATATTTACTACTCCCCACAGCTTGGTGTCATCTGAAAGCTTACTAAGGGTGCAGTCCATCCCATCTTCCAGGTCTTTATTGAAGATATTGAACAAAAACGGCCCCAGGGCCAACCCCTAGGGCACTCCACTTGGTACCAACTGCCATCTGCCAACTGGACATTGAGCCATTCATTACTACCCTCTGAACCTGATGATCCAGCAAATTTTTTCTATCCACCTTACAGTCCATTCATCCAACCGATACTTCCTTAGTTTGCCTGGGAGAACGTTGTGGGAGACCATATCAAAAGCCTTGCTAAAGTCAAGGTTGACCACATCATCTGGTCTCCCTGCATCCACAGAGACAGTCACCTCAAAGGCAATCAGTTTGGTCAGGCATGACTTGCCCATGGTGAATCCATGCTAACCTATCCTAATCATCTTCTTCCCCAAGTGCTTAGAAATGGATTTATTGAGGAACTACTCCATTATTTTTTAAGGGACTGGTCAGTAGTTCCCCAGATCCTCCTTTTTCCCTTTCTTAAAGATGGGCGCTATATTTGCCTTTTCCCAATCACCTAGGACCTCTCCCAATTGCCATGAGTTTTCAAAGATGATGGCCAGTGGCTCTGTAATCACTTCAGCCAACTCCCTCAGCACCCTTGGATGCATCCTGTCTGGCCGAATGGACTTGTGTATGTCTAGATTTTCTATGTAGTTCCTAACCTGTTATTTCACCACAGTTGGCTGCTCACTTCTCCCCCAAACTGTGCTGCCAGGTACAGTAGTCTGGGAGCTGACCTTGCCTATGAAGACTGAGGTGAAAATGGCATTGAGCACTTCAGCCTTTTCTGCACCCTCTGTCACTACGTTGCCTGCCCATTTCAGCAAGGGACCCACACTTTCATTGATCTGCCTCTAGTTACTGACATAGTTGTAGAAACCCTTCTTTTTCTCTTTCACATCCCTTGCTAGTTGCAACTCCCGTCGTGCTTTGGCTTTTCTGACTTCATCCCTGCATGCCTAAACAATACTCTTATACTTATCCCTTATTGTTTGTCCAAGTTCTCACTTCTTCTAAGCTTCCTTTTTGTGATTTAGCTGACTGAAGAGTTCTCTGCTAAGCCAAGGTGGTATTCTGACATACTTGCTAGTTTTCCTGCACACTGGGATGGTTTGTTCCTGTGTCCTCAGTAAAGTTTCTTTAAAGTACAGCCAGCTCTCCTGGATGCCTCTCTGCCTCAGACTGGCTTCCCAGGGGATCCTGCCCATGAGTTCCCCGAGCAAGTCAAAGTCTGCTTTTCTGAAGTCCAGGGTCCTTACTCAGCTGCTTTCCATCCATCCTTTCCTCAGGATCCTGAACTCAATGATCTTGTGATCGCTCCTGCCCAAGTTGCCATCCACTACTAGATTCCCCACCAAATCTTCCCTGTTTGTGAGCAGCAGGTCAAGAAGAACAGAGCTCCAGCACTTGCACCAGGAAGTTGTCCCCAGTACTGTCCAAAAACTTCCTGGTTTGCCTGCAGCACTGCTGTGTTGTTCTCCCAGCAGATGTCAGGGTGATTGAAGCCCCCCCTGAGAATCAGGTCCTGTGATGGGGAAACTTCCTGTAGTTGTTTGAAGAAAGCCTCATATACCACTTCTTCCTCATCTGATGGTCTGTAGCAGACCCACACCATGACATGACGCAACCCCACACCATGACATGCCCCTTGTTGCTCTCCCTGCTGATCCTAACCGAGAGACTTTCAACAAGCCTATCTCCCGTTTCATACCAGAGCTCTAACCAATCATATGGCTCTTTTACATAAAATGCAACTCCTCCTCCTCTTCCCTCCTGCCTCTCCTTCCTGAACAGTTTATATACATCTGTGGCAGTGCTTCAGTCATGCGTCCTATCCTGCCAAGTCTCTGTTATTGCATGTCATAGTCCTGTGGCTGTACAAGGATTTCCAATTCTTTCTGCCTGTTCCCCAGGCTCTGTTCATTCGTGTACAGGCACCTAAGGTAACTAGCCAATTTGCCCTGATTTCTCAGGAAGAATGAGAAGGCCTCCCTGTTGCCTACTCCAGCTTGTGCTTCCTCCAGGTAACCCACTTCCCCACTTACCTCAGAGCTTTAGTCTCCATCCCCTGGAGAACCTGGTTTAAATCCCTCCTCACTAGGTTAGCAAGCCTGTCTGCAGAGATGCTCTTCCCTCTCTTTGTCAGGTGGATCCTGTCTCTTCTTAGCAATCTTGCTTGGACAGACACATCACAGTTGCAAACAGAGGCAGTGGTAGTGGCTCTGGCATCGCGATATCCTCCAGCCATTTCCTTAGGTCTCTTAATCTGTCTCCTCTGTCTTACTGCCCTTCTTCCAAGCACACCTTCCCTAGCAAACTCACCTGTAAACTGGCCCATTTATTGTTCCTTGGTTCTGAAAGGTTCCTTTTTCCCTGCTTGCTCTTACCAAGCTTAAAGGCTCCCCCTCAAAGGTGGGGAGGGGGAGGCAAACTGATTTGCCAACCTCTTGCAAACTGCTTCCCCCATTTGCACTCTCCCTGCTCATTCAGGGAGTCTTCTTTTATACCTCGCAGGGCATGGATTGGCTTCACCCCCACTGGGACCTTTGTTAGGCATAGGCAGCAATCACTCAGCTAGCAACACTCTCAGCTTCTCAGAGCACATGTCCAAAACCCACACAGCCTACCAAACAAACACTCAGCAAGCCAAGTACACAGGCACCCCTGGATCACTTACTTTCCCAGGGCAGTGTCTGGTGCCTCATGCCTTCCTCTTCCCCTTCCCTTTCCTCCTCTTGCTCCCAGCACACTGCTTCCCCTGTCTGCTGCCCCTGTTCATTCATCAATTTCAGCCACTCTTGTACTGCTGCTGCTTCCACCCAACTTCAACTGCTGCTGGCACAGGAAATCCATGACAATTGGTGGTGAGGAAAGCTGCAGTGACCTGTGGGAATGTGTTGGGTAATATCTTCTTGTTCTTCCTGTACTTTCCTGCCACAAGTTAAATTTAATAAGAAAAGGAAGGAGATCAGTAAGTTGTTAAAGCCTGTGATCAAAGAATAGAACCCAGATGTTACGTGCTCAAATCATAGGTTTATTTTTTAAAGTAGAGGATATAGTAACAGTAGCCTTGCCAATTACTTCATTGGCAAAGGTAGTTGACTTGAAAGTGAGAAAAACCCTGAACTGAAACTTTTGGCGATACTTTGTTTAAACTAATCTAAACCACTAATTGCCTCATTAGCATAATGCGATCCCCGTGTCTTTCACTCTCGTCCCCAGCTCGTGCCGGGAGCGGTTCCCTGCAGCTCCTCCACAGTTCTGATTACTTCCTAAACAGTTGTTGTCCCAGTGGGGTCAGGGACTTATTGGAAGCTCTATTTCCCCGCACACACAGTCTTTTATTTGGCTCTCTGCCAAGCCTGTTCCCGCCACCTCAGCGTCTCTCCAGACTCACCACAGCAGCATGATTCTTTGTATCAGTGTTCGTCAGGATCTGATCTGTTGAATCTTCAGGTAGTCCGGAGCGCCCAACATCCTTCCCAGTCACAGGTTAGACTTCTTTCCGTTTTTATCTCTCTCTAGGGTCTCGATTATCCCCGTGTTCCTTTTCTGGTGCCCAAACACGATCTGTAAATGTCCTGCTGCTGGTTTTATCCCTGGTTTTCACAGGCTAATCATCCAACCTCTTTCCAGGTGTGAAATCCTCTCCACCTGGCAGGATGCATTCGGAGGTCACTTCTCCAAGGGTTAGCCGAAGTAACGGGGCTTCTGCTTGAGTCCCTGTTACAATGTGAATTAGGAATATGTGAGAGTCCCAGGCTTTACCACAGTGGAGTGTAAACCAGAAGGTTTGGGAAACTCTGACGTAAGCAGATATCTTTGCTGAAGCCAAAGAGGCTTTGGTGACTGAAAGATAAAACATGGTCTGGAGCTGAAAAGGTATTCTATTCCATTATTTTTGTTTTTATTTTTTTTAAGACTATCAAATCTTTTTTTCATTTAAACAAAGCTTTTCACTAATGTGTGAAAAGTTACTAGTAGTTACACAATTGGTGTTAGAAGAAGCAAAAGTTGCTGCTTGGTTTACACCAGTGGTGCTCAACCTCTGTGGGTGTGATCAGTGGCATGAGGCTGGTCCATGTATCAGGTTTGTCCATGGGTCAGATCCAGCATGGGGTTGAAATGCTGGATTTGGCTGTGGAGGAGTGCCACATGCTGGTCCATCCTCATGTGTTGGATCTGTCCATGGAGTGACACCATGAGAACCACAACAGTTAATGCTGCCATGGGTCCTCCACTTCCAAATTACCAGACCCGTGGGGAGCCCTGCTGGCTGGATGGTGTGGTCCTGCTGGTTAGATTATGTGCGTGGGTGGGAGATTGAGCACCATTAGTTATACTATTCAAGTAAATTGGTTCATATCTTAATCTCTTTCAGTAACATTAAATTAGAAACTTGGAGAACTCTGTTTTTGTTTTTTGGTGGTGTTTTTTTAAGGTCTCTTGCATGTGATTCAAAGCATGTTTATTTTGGGGGGGGGGGTTCCATTTATGCCTGAATTTTATGTATTTGTTTTGCTTTCCCCTTGCAAGGAAAGAATGCTAAGATCCTATGGTCCGAAAGGGAATTCTTTGGTTTCTTTTGAAGTCTATAGGAGACTTGAAAATCCAGCTAGAGGAGCTAGTCCAAGAGTTCCTCTGGAAAATAACCTACATTTTCCTGCACTTAGCTATATGTATATTATATACACTCTTTATTTGACAAGTTTCATGGATGGGTAGGACAATCTCACCTCAAGTAAACAAGGTATAATGTTATTGTCTGGCAAACATTCCACCAAAGAACCTGGAGAATATCAGAAGTCTGGCTTCTTAGGCTGGAATTTCTTTTGTTCCATAATTGTTAGTATTCTAGGATGGTGTAGTGTATGCTATATATTTACTCAAACTTTTCTGTTTAGTGTAGACCCAGTTCTGTAACTCTTACTCATCCCGCTGTGTTTGCCCATAGTTATCTGATGAAATTCAATAGAAGTACTGAGCATTAGTAGGAGCTGCAGAGTTGTACCCTTACACACTGCATCCCCAGAGCCAAGAATTAAGTACTGAAGAACGTTACATTAACAGGGAGAGTTACAGAATTTGTTCTTGTTCCCATTAGTCAATGTAAGTTTTGACTTTCGTGGGAGGGACTGGTGCCAACATTCTAAACCTTAGAAATTTATATGGATTTAGTGGAAGTAAGTGCTCAAGTGTTTGAAATCATTGGGCACAGAGAGCACTTGGTCCTACTGAGGCATCAGTACTCTGCAGCATTTTACCCAAGGTCCAAAATCAGAGACGTAACAAGGCAACTGGGTGCCCGGGGCAGCAGCAATACATGGGGGCAGCAGTGACCTCTGGTTGTTGATGTTGCCAGCAACTGCTGTGGCAGCTATAATTTTTCTGTCCTCTCACCCTTCGCCTCAACCCCCCACCCCCTACTCTGGCTGCTACAACAGTTGTCCCATCTTAGTTATACTACTGTCCAAAATTCCTGCAGAGGAGATGCCATGAGGCTGCTATTCCAGCCAGTAAGTTGGGATGAGTAACTGCAGAGATGATGTGCTTTTAGCCCCCTGTTTGCCCTTACTTTAGAGTTGGTAGATTCCATGTCTCTCACACACATGTAGAGCCCCATTATTTACACTTAGTGAAAGATGTGATGGAGGTCTCAGTGATTCAGGTATTTTCATCATGTAAGTTTTTTTAATCAACATTTTTCTTACTATGTGAAACATAATGAGACTTTGCAGAATATAACACAAACCATGAGTATCATTCACTTCAGTTATTTAAATTTCTTGTTAGAATACTATATAATTCAGATTGCAAGCTATTTTACAATAAATTAATGCTTTCTTTAACATGTCTTGGTATTTATTGACAGTTAAGTGTGAATAATCCCTTAAAAAATAATTCCTTAGCATTTTTTCATTATTAGAGAGGTGCTCATTCTCCCTTTCTTTTCCTCCTGTAGCTGAACTTTTCATATATATTGTATTATATTCCTTCCATTTGCTGTAAAGGAAAAAATATGTTTCCCCAAATTTTTCTAGTTTTTGAGAACCAATATTTTGAATAACATGAACAATTTCCATTCCAAATAAAGATGACTCCTCTGTTCACTTACAGGATGACAAATTCTGGAAGGCTTTTCTAGAATTAATCTTTAGAACTTCATTGCAACAAAATTAAAGACCTGTTCTCTTTTAGCTTTGTTGCTAGAGTATATCCATTACTGGCAAAATTCCATTCCTATTAGTAATAAGAGGGCAACATCAATTGTCTGTCTGGCATATGTAGCAAAATTTAACGCTCTGCCTATTTGACAATGAAACTTATTTTGTTTTTTTTTATAACTGATGCACATTTAAATCTTAAAACATGGCTCCATACTCAAAAGATTTTTAAACAAATCTCAGTATTGTTCTACTATGGTTTGGCATCCTTTTAAATAATTGATTTTAGAAGCACCTAACTAAATCCTGGTTGGTGAAAAGTGAGTTTTGTTTTGTTTTTGGAACAGGATGAACCATTAAACCCAAATTAAATTGAAGAACAAGAACATATTAGGAGGCTGATTTGCAAAGCTAGGTTAACACGATTGTGTATTAAAAATTGCCAGCGCAGATTGGATTCCTTATTCATATGCAGTTACCACAAGTGTGTTGAGATGCATCTTAGATTTGGTTGAGTATGGCTCACTTTTATACATAGCTACTATAATAATATGTGCAAGTTAGCTTATTTTTTGTATGAATATTATGAGAAAAACAGAAAAGTGTAACGCTAAAATCAGTGTCTCTAGTATGCATAAATAAACTGAGGCAGTTACTTTACCCCTCCTCATAAATAATTTTAACTACTATTATTCTACTTGCAGGTTAACACTTAACCTGAAGCAGCAAAAACTGAGTGAAAACTTGAGAGAGAACAAACTACAAGCATTCTTCTCCAGGTATGTTAATTATGGTCCTGTAAGTGTGTCTTCAAACAAGGTTGAAGAGGCAACCTTGGAGGCAACAATCTATATTAGTTTACAAATGGTGCAGTATCTCCAATGATCACGAAAATACTGGAAGAATTGTACTTTTTGCTGAAGGCTTAAGTAAAAAATAAATTTTAACTGGCTAAGAACCTGTACTGGCAGATATTCTGTATTTGTACTAAATACTCCGTTGTGTATTTTATGCATGCTGTTGAGTGTTTGTTTTACCTGGAGTTTTACTCAGTTACTGGAAATAGCACTCAGATTAACTACTTGCATTATGGTGGTGCCTAGAAACTTCAACAGGAACTCGGGTCATGTTGCACTAAGTACTGTTAATATATAATAAGAGATGATTGCTGTTCCAGAGTTTACAAAGGATGGGAAAATAGTTGTTGTTGTTGTTATGGTGGGTTGTTTTACTTTACAAAAACTTCAAAGTATAAATTTTTAGGATGGATTTAATGCACATGACTGAAATTATTCCCGTTTCCAACATTATTATTCAGTTTCTATGACCTGTCATTTTGCTCCCTAGAAACAAGGGAAAATGGCACTCTTAAGTAACATGTGGGTAGGGGGGATTAAGATGAACATAAACAGGTCTGAAGTGCACCAACATCAACCCTTTAGACACAGGAATCATTCAGAATGGCTCTCACCTCAGTGATCTATAGGAGACGAACAAATGCCCAAGGTTACTGTTAATAGGTTATGGCAAGGATCAATCTCCACAAAGCTTTGTGATTTCAGTAAAGGTGTTTTGACGAGGTCTAAAAAATTCAACCAGATTTTATTGGGGTTTTTTTCCTCATAAAACCTGGTAAACCTATTATGACAGTATCTCCTGAAGCAGAGAATTCCAACTAGAAAGCTCCTGTTCATTAAAGAAGAAGGTTTGGGAGAGCTAGTAGTGAGGCACTACACAAATCAAGTGCTCCTAACAATATGTATATTGACAAAGAGGCATGTAGTTAGAAAAACATCTTGTCCATAAAAGAAAGAGAGAACTGTTAGCAGAGTAGGTTATCTTTTCTTTATGAACTTGAGAGAGTTCAACATTCTCTGAATGTTGGACAATATTTTCATTGAACTGAGCAGTTTTTTCTCTTCCCTGTACTTTCAACAACAGCAACAGACTTAACCCTCCTCCACGTGCCACAGTTAATGAGAACTTGGTATGAGTAAAAGCTGATTAAGTGCTATGGGATTTGACCTGTTTTTTCTTTAACAGCAGGATATTGGCATATATAGTTTTGTATTTCTTTTAATCTGTAATGGTTTTTGCTGCTTTATCTGTCCCCACAGTATGTCTGAAGTTTCACCAGAGAACAGTATGTGTTTTAAGTTTGTTTGGTATGGTGCTTCTACTTCAAGATGCCACATGACAAGATATTCAATGCAAGAACATTCACTATGACTTTTCATTGTTGGCATAATTGGTTATATGGAGAAAAAAGGTGTGATTTAATTTTTTCTAAACCCATATCTAGAAATTGAAATGTGTGAAGCAGTGGTGGAGATTTAAGATAAGTCTGACAACTATTTCAGTTCCATCTCGAGTAAGGCTAGGGACAGAAAT